ACGTGGGATATCGGGACACAATGGTTCCCCAGTCAACCTCCACGTGGGATATCGGGGGCACAGTGGTTCCCAAGTCAACCTCCACGTTGGATATCAGGGGCACAATAGTTCGCCAGTCAACCTCCACGTAGGATATCAGGGGCACAATAGTTCGCCAGTCAACCTCCACGTGGGATATCAGGGGCACAATGATTCCCCAGTGACCACGGTTGCCCTTAAAGTCAACTTCCACGTAGGATATCAGGGCACAATGGTTCTCCAGTCAACCTCCACTTGGGATATCAGGGGCACAAGATTCCCCAGTGACCACGGTTGCCCTTAAAGTCAACTTCCCCGTGGAATGTCGGGGCACAATGGTTCCCCAGTCAACCTCCCCGTGGAATGTCGGGGCACAATGGTTCCCCAGTCAACCTCCCCGTGGAATGTCGGGGCACAATGGTTCCCCAGTCAACCTCCACGTGGAATGTCGGGGCACAATGGTTCTCCAGTCAACTTCCCCGTGGAATGTCGGGACACAATGGTTCCCCAGTCAACCTCCACGTGGAATGTCGGGGCACAAGGGTTACCCAGTCAACCTCCCCGTGGAATGTCGGGGCACAATGGTTCCCCAGTCAACCTCCACGTGGGATGTCGGGACACAAGGGTTCCCCAGTCAACTTCCCCGTGGGATGTCGGGGCACAAGGGTTCCCCAGTCAACCTCCCCGTGGGATGTCGGGGCACAAGGGTTCCCCAGTCAACCTCCACGTGGGATGTCGGGGCACAATGGTTCCCCAGTCAACTTCCCCGTGGAATGTCGGGGCACAAGGGTTCCCCAGTCAACTTCCCCGTGGGATGTCGGGGCACAACGGTTCCCCAGTCAACCTCCACGTGGGATGTCGGGGCACAATGGTTCCCCAGTCAACCTCCACGTGGAATGTCGGGACACAATGGTTCTCCAGTCAACTTCCCCGTGGAATGTCGGGACACAACGGTTCCCCAGTCAACTTCCCCGTGGGATGTCGGGACACAATGGTTCTCCAGTCAACTTCCCCGTGGGATGTCGGGACACAATGGTTCTCCAGTCAACTTCCCCGTGGAATGTCGGGACACAAGGGTTCCCCAGTCAACTTCCCCGTGGGATGTCGGGGCACAAGGGTTCCCCAGTCAACTTCCCCGTGGAATGTCGGGGCACAAGGGTTCCCCAGTCAACTTCCCCGTGGAATGTCGGGACACAACGGTTCCCCAGTCAACTTCCCCGTGAGATGTCGGGACACAATGGTTCTCCAGTCAACTTCCCCGTGGGATGTCGGGACACAATGGTTCTCCAGTCAACTTCCCCGTGGAATGTCGGGGCACAAGGGTTCCCCAGTCAACCTCCACGTGGGATATCGGGGACACAGTGGTTCCTAAGTCAACCTCAACGTGGGATATCGGGGACACAATAGTTCGCCAGTCAACCTCCACGTAGGATATCAGGGGCACAATAGTTCGCCAGTCAACCTCCACGTGGGATATCAGGGGCACAATGATTCCCCAGTGACCACGGTTGCCCTTAAAGTCAACTTCCCCGTGGAATGTCGGGGCACAAGGGTTCCCCAGTCAACCTCCACGTGGGATGTCGGGGCACAATGATTCCCCAGTACCCACGGTTGCCCTTAAAGTCAACTTCCCCGTGGGATGTCGGAGCACAAGGGTTCCCGGGTGTGAGAGACCAGCTACAAGGAGGAGTGGCTGATGTGTAAGTGTCACGGTGCTCAGGAGCTGTATTTACAGTGTATATATTTCACAGGGTAAATAGTCAGTAGATAGTCAGTCAGGGAATAAGCATAATAATACTACAATAATGATATGGTGTAACAAGGTCTGTATTGGGGTAAAAGGTCATAAAAATTACGTCTGGCACATTTTTAACATCAGTGAGGTGATGGAGTTTCGAGAAATTTCAAGAATGAATGAATCTATTGGTATTATTGTGATAACACGCAGTTATGGTGCTCGATGTGAGAACAACATGACCAACCCTAGAAATAAACCACCATTCCAGAATCTCCCCGCCAGCACTACCGAAATGTGTTGTTTTTGAAGGAACAAGATGTGATATGTTTCATATGAGAGTTTGCTAAAAAACAGTCATCAGAAATCATTGCACAGCGTCAATACAGCAATCCTATGTCTGGCATATTTGTTTACAGAGGAAGAGAGAAAGCATGAACATGTATTTCAGGGAATACGTTTAACAATATGACAATGCTTACATTTCAGGGCTTATATCCACTATATTGAATATTCCCACGTTACAAATATTCCCTGAGATGTTTGGGCATTGTATATATTATCCTGGTTATGTACACGGATCATACACACAGGAATAAATACAGAGACAAAACAGATGTTATACAAGGCATATCGGTACATGTCATATCATTGTCATACACGCCATTCGATTGTCATTGGCGTCATTTCATTGCCATTCAAGTCATATGATTGTCGTACACGTCATACGTTTGTCATTGACGTCATTTCATTACCAAACATGTCATATGATTGTCATACACGCCATTCGATTGTCATTGACGTCATTTCATTACCATACATATCATATGATTGTATTACACGCCATACGATTGTCATACAAATTACGTGATTGTCTTACACGTCATTCGATTGTCATTGGCGTCATTTCATTGCCATACACGTCATATGATTGTCTTACACGTCATACGATTGTCATACAAATTTCGTGATTTTCAAACACGTCATTCGATTGTCATTGACGTCATGTCATTGCCATACAAGTCATATGACTATGCATGTCCTATTGAACTTAAACATCCATATCGAATGATACGTATTTTTTAACACAAAACGTATTCTGAAACCCTCCATGAAGATACAAGACATGTGTTGGTAAACATGTAAATTTTAAGCTTTCTTGAACGAAATAAAGCGACATAAACAATACACCATTTTACCTTATAAGGAAGTTAGTTCAGTCAAGGTCGTGCGCGGATTATCACCAGTATGACACAAGTGTTCACAGAGTGTTCACAGAGTGGTTCTGTGTTCTGGAACATCACGTCGTGTTTGTCATCTTTGTCATGCTAAGCTTGAAGGGTTCAGGGTATCGTAGCGAGGGTTAAGTGGAGCTCTGGTAAGAGCGGGACGGGGCTGCTGTCATTGGTAACAGATATAGCGACAGAGATATGACCAAGAACCAATGTACACATATCACACAATGGAAGGATTAAAGAGGTGGTTCTTAGGTGTAAGCCAGGCTTGCATTCAGTGAGTCATTTCACCCCTCCAGTGCCAGCGAACTTCGTGACATTACTGTAGGTTTTTTGTGTATTGAGCCTTCGTTGGCCTCTCCTGTCTGAATGGTGGCTGGGTACGTGGTAACTGAGTTTGGTCTAACCCGGTTAGAACAGTTTGTTTGTTGTTTAACGCCGCACTCAGCAATATTCCAGCTATATGACAGCAGTCTGTAAATAATCGTGACATCATGAACATCGATCTACGCAGTTAGGATACGATGACATGCATCAACCAAGTCTGCGAGCTTGACCACCCGATCCCGTTAGTCGCCTCTTACGACAGGCATAGTCGCCTTTTACGGCAAGCATGGGTTGCTGAAGACCTACTCTACCCGGACCTTCACGGGTCGATTAAAACAGTATTCCAGTTGTATCACGGCGTGTAAACCCATGTGGGGGGAAATCCCGAAATGATGCAGGTCATAGACCTTTACCACTTTGATGAAACCCATGGGTATGGTGCTGAGAAACCAAGAAACAAAATCAGGGCGAATTTTGGATTTAAACCCACGATCGTAGGATTCTGGCACGCCTAAGGGACGTAAGTCTGTACGGCGAAATGCGGCCCGGGTTGGAAGATAGGCTACTACGTCATCTCCCCTACTGCTTGAGTAACTTATGTTAATTCGTGTAACATACGCTTTGATAATGGTATGACATAACATTTCGTGCTAAGTTAAGTATGGGATTTTTTACCTGGATTGTATTTCTACCATGTATCTCAAATACTCACGAACATGTTAATGACGCAATTTGAAATAATATATTCGGCGAATAAATCCTTAAAATAACATCCTATATATCATCTTGATATCACGTGAGAGTGCAGTATATCAGAACAGCTGCAAATCAATAACTATATATATAATTATATGCATGTTGTTAAAGCAGAACAGACTGGATGTCGCAGTATACATAAAAAAGAAGTAATTTCTCTTTGTGTAAACGCACCTTGGTTTATATATGGCGCAAGGAGGATGGGACACCACGTACCGCGTCCTTCTTTCTGAAACAAGCTCGCATGTTTTAAAAGACGCAAAAAACGTACAATTACAAAAATGCCTATCTGCTCGAACGGTACAACAACTACAACGGCCTTAAAATATCTGCAGGCGCGAAGGGAGTGATGCGTTCACGACATACCAAGATTAAGCGAATCTTCAGATGAGTCTAAATCATCTTTACATGCCCTGTGTGTCTTCAGTGCCAAGCAACATCTAACCATTCGGGATGAAACAAAAGATATTTAATGCATTACAAAATACGTCCATTGGAATTTGTTTTTTAAAAAAAAGCCAAACTATCAACATGAAAGAACTCGACGTGGTTAAAAGAACATATTTTATTTTATTTAAATACTGGCTATTTTTTATACAGTGTGTGGCTCTATTATATAACTGCAGTAAACAGAAGACGTGATAGACATCAGGAAGAATGAAACTCACCACAGATTGTGAATTGGATTGAATTGTATTTTGATGTTCCTAAAGTACGCATTGAATTTCTAAGCGGTTACATTACTTCCCTGGGGACAAACACTCCAGGATACGTATTTTAATTAACCAACCCTGTCCGCGAAACACACATTTAAACGACATTGTATCAATCAGCGTCGCCCCCAGGGAAAATCTCCAACCCCAAAAGAACCTCAGCTACAAACCTGCTCGCCGTCTTGCGCGTCGTGTTCTATAAATAGCTCTCGTGGACGGGTTTGTACGGCATGCATACCTGAGCGGTGTACCTGACGGGTTAGTCATGGAAGGAGCGCGTCTCCAGGTATGTAGAACTGTATTTAATTAAGGATTTCCAAGCAAATGAAGACTTTGGTTTGTTAAACTACGAATTTCCCAATTTGCGGTCCTGTGTCGTTCCCGACATGACATTTAGTGTCGGAGAAAAATAAGGGCAACCGACTCACAGTCGTGTTGTGCGTGTGACAGTTTAGCGTTTGGCCAAGTCGAACACTGGAGTCGTTGTATACTGCAACGATATAACACCGATATCATAGATCTCCTGCACATGATTTCAATAACACAAGTCCTACTCGCTCTGCTATAAGAAATCTGCCCTAGTTTTCTGGTTGAGTGATTTTGCCTGAATCAATTTGTGTTGATTTTCTCTTGTTACAGGTCATAGATTCAAGAATTGGATAGAAGTGAGATCTTGCCTGTCAGATTCTGTCATCTGTCGAGTTTTTACGTTTTCTTTCTATCTGTTGACAGCGCTACAAAGGAACTTGAGAGAGAGGTGCGCATCATTAACTGCGTGAAGCCAAGACGTGGATAGGTGCGACTCACTCAATTGCTTGAGATCAACAAATCTCACTGATAATTCGCGGACAGGAATTTGGTTGTACATACAGCGAGTCATCGATCGGATACACGCCAAATTGTTGGGAACTTTAACCAGGGATGGCCCCGATAAGGTCCCAGTTATTGTGAACGGGTGCGTGTGCATGAAGGACAGACTGGTAAGGAGAAATTAGTGTCGTCTGCTCATCACATTTACTTGTGAAAATGTCGTCTGCTGAAGAGGAAACTGCCTCGTGTTCATCGTCGCAAGGCGTAAGTGATGTGTTGGTGCTAGGCGATGACGTCTCACTGAATAGCGACACAGATTTCAGCGATATTGTGGGAAAATTTGACACAGGACTGTGTTTGGAACCGGATACCAACATATCTATCGGAGATGGAGACAATAGTTTACGGGACTCTGATTCCATGGGAGCTGCCTCTAGCAACAGTAGTGTGAAAGAGGACGTTGTTGAGGAAGACCCTAGCGACGACGACAACGCAGAGGAAGAAGAGGAAGAGGAGGAGAAGCCCACAGCTAACGGTACTTCAGCTGTTGCCCTAGCAGGGGCTATGGGAGAGGCAACGGCTTCCGAGGCAGGGGGCAAAGACGGTAAAAAATCAAAATCTGTGAAAGAGTCTAGTCCCACTAAGGAAAAGAAGAAAAAGAAGTCCCCATTTGCTCTTCTAAGGAGGTTAACTAAGTTTGATAAAAAACCGAAACACAAACCGTTTCCTTCCGAATTCAACCAGATTCGAATTGATCGTCTACCTCAGTTGTTTGTGGCCAAGTACCTGGGCAAGAAGGACTCCAAGGGCTTGTATGGACTCCACCATGTGAGGAAACCAGTGGACGAGATGGTCAGTAAGGTCAAGAAGGGTCTTGAGGCTACAGACCGCCTGGAACTTCCCTTGGTATACATTGTGTTCACACTTAAGGGCATTGATATAAGAGAGCATAAACTGAACAAGGTCAAGGGAGTTGAGTACGGTATGATCCCAATAGATTTCATATCGTATGGTGTACAGGACATCAAGTACTGGCGAGTTTTTACGTTCATTGTTGTAAAGGAACTCTCATCACGAACCAAGGTGACTGAGTGCCATGCCTACCTGTGTGATTCTTCTCTGAACGCCCGCAAGATGGCACTGGCCCTAGGTGCCTCGTTCAAGCTGTACTCCAGGAGGTTGTCGACGGAGGGTAAGTCCCATAACTTCCAGGTGGAACTCCGACCCCCGGATGAGCTCGCCGATGCTTTCTCTAAGGAGTACGAGGCTTAACATGGTCGAAGAGTAGACCCATAGCTGACGTCGGATACGCTTCCAGCTATGGCATCAAACATCCATGGCTATTCATGAGTACCCGTGTAGGATACGCGTGTGCTTCCTGACATTATCCTATTACCAAATCTGAAAACAAATGTTCCAGAAAGACACTTTTATCAAGTACTTATGTTATCCTGTGATTGAACCACGAGAATAAGGTAATTCAAAGCGTGTACCAATTTGTCGAAGATCAATAAGTGTGAGTGGGGATAAGGAACATACAACCCACGCCCCGATTCCGGGTGGTGGTGCGTGCACGTGATCGGATTAATATTGACCTGCCTTTTGAAGGATAACAACTGCTGGCTGTACGAAGGGTTGTAACCCTTCCAGTGATTTCCGGTTTACAATATCTTTGGAGTAGGGGCTATGCTTCCATGACCCCAGGGTCAGACACGCCCACCCTCCCACGTGGTGGATGTGCAACATGGTATTACATGTTTCTACAGGTGTAACTTATATATTGGGTGTACCATATTTTACGAAACGCCATATTTAATTTTGTACTTGTTTAGCATATTATGACAATATCAAACCTTAATCTTTACTAAATGTCCCAGTGTATATGAAAATACCACGGTATATAATATAAAAATTATATGTACTTAATTAATTTAACTGGAGCCTAATGTGTATGATTCTCGTCGTGACCTTTCTGCCATATTGTTTTGTTTCATATCATCTTGCCACCCTACAATCAGAGTCGGTCGGTAACGTTGATAAATATTTACACTCCAGTGAAAACATTGTTGTCAAATATTTCGTTTGTCTGATGGAAATGTTATTTTAAATTATTGAAGCCACAACTATTCAGCAGAAACAACTGCTTGTCCGCGTGAAGTTAATCATAGATGGCGTGTACTGCTGTGAATAGCTTGAACGCATCCACATGGACGTCACTCGCGGCATCGTTCTAACGCTATGTCGACCGTCAATCTGTACTACCGCAACACTTGTTGATAGGTCGTCTGTGGGCTAAATCGTCTAGTTAAAATCACCTTTCCAAATTGATGCAACTGGCTGTTTTCATTTGTATATGTAAATATTAGCACAGCGGTTTATGTCGATAGTGGCTGAATGACGCAGTACTGACACGCATCACCTTGCTCCAAGGCAATGGGTAGTGAGGGATTGAACACCTGTAAAAAGTAATACAAATCCAGGGAATTATAACTTATTAATATCATCTACCAGTCCGTGTTCTTGCCGCTTCCCATATATTCACTCTGGTCGCATGTAGACCGACTCTCGCGTTAAAGGGACTCTCCGGGTGTTTTTTTCAATTCTGCGTTGATTGATCATATATGACCTTTACAGCCATGCAAATTAATGAAGGTCATGTGTTATGAAGGTCATGACTCTTAAGTACACAAGCGTTTTAGATAAAAAGAACAAAGACACAATTCTTCTCTGAAATTGTTTTGTGTGTGCTCAGAAAGCCCTTTATGCCTTAACAAGTCATAATGTTCAGGAGCTGTCGTTAACAACCATGACGGCTCCAGATAGGAGCTATTTATACACGTACATCTCTACTTAAGTATGTATATCGTTGTCCAGGGATGGGACAGTCCTACTGTTCTTAATGAAATGTATATGTGCCAAGGTTTATTTCAAACAAAATTAGTCACTACAAGAATAATAATACCGTAATAAAATATTTAGACTATATGTTTCTTTTGTTTCCGTGTGTTGGTGTTGCCATGGTAACGATGTAGCGTGTTAACGCATAAGATGTTTTATAAGTGTATGCTGACGATATTCATAGGACGTTATTGTCAGCCTGTGAAAGCGTTCACTTCAACGTTACATTTGCGCTCTGTGTGTAGCCATGCATAAAAAAATTATATGATTTATGTCTGCAGGCTGCATAATTCGTTATCAAGGTATGTGTAAGTTAAAAATCAAAAGCGTGCAGCAGACCCAAGCAATGTATTGTTTCACCAGAATCAGAATTTACTCACAGAAGAATAACACGAGTGATGCCCATCTGTTGCTATCGATTAGATCAAACCGATTTAAGTAACCGATCGATTTTCCAGTTACTTTTGACGATATTGTATTCCAGGTAGACATTATCTATATCAGCCCTATACAACATGGCACACCTGCTGTGAGTAATGGGATGGAGTTGGTGTCGGTCGATAGTTGCTTTCAACATATTCCATGCATGTGAATAAATCATGTACCAGGAAATATATAATGTGTTTTGAGAAGGAGAAAAGGGTTATTGTTCAGTTTATATTATGTTTGGAAATACAACGGCCTTGATCTTGTCCCAAATTCAAAGCATACAATTGGTCCAACTGTGCACATTAAAAACGTGACGTACAGAACGAAATTAAGATATATTGAACAATGTTTGGTTATATTTTATTGATATTTTATATGTTATAAGATATTATTGGCATTATAACCACATACATGTAGTAAGTTTTTTAATTGTCTTTGCATTAGATGTAGGCCTTAACGAATTAAATCTAAACTGTTTGATGAATAACGAATTTGTTTGGAACATGTCTATCTCGTAACGTGCTGTATTTAGAACAAATCAATATAAAATAGTATTCATCCTCCACAACATTAGTAGTGCAGTACTGGCAAATCCCTTCATGTCTTGGAATATTATGATACCGTCCCATTTCTATGCAAAGATTATGGGAAATGCAACGGAACAGGGGCAAAGGTATTCTAAATTTGTAATGGTAATTTCTGTCAAATATAGTTCAACGTTGAGAAGTGGTTTAATGGCGGAATAAATTTGAGTTTTTAAATTGTTTGACAATGAGGAACTCAATTCCTGTTCAAAAGCACATTTAAGTCTCATAACAAATTCTGAAATAAACGATTCTTTTAGTGTAACATTTAGTGCTTCCCATACATATACAAATCCAAAACGATGTAACAAAGATTTAAGTTTGGAAGTCCAGGTAATCTTACCATGGCGTGCACTTTGAATTAACATATTGTAACATTTTCTAGGGTATCTGGTATCTGGCATTGCTAATAACTTAAACCAGTATATAATTACACGTTTAGCTGCTGATATGTAAAGGGAGAAGCGACCACATTCTCCTAGGACAACATAACATGCTGTTATGCTCTGACCTTGTACGACACGAAAAGGGGTATATATTACACATGTAAAGCACATTCATATTGCAGTAAACCAACTGATTCACTTTTCCTAAGTGTCAGCAGTCAGGCGGCTTGCTGATCCCCTGGAGGTTCGAGGGCAAGAAAAGGACTAGCACACTAAAAATCTTGAAGTTGATAGACATGGAAAGTCATCATGTTTTAATTGTTAATTATTGGTGTGATGTTGATACATAGTGAGCGTCGAGAACGTTATTAAATATATTACTCAGAAAACGTTAAGGTGAGGTGAAATGGGGTTTAACGTCGCGTTCAAGATTAATACACTTATATAGCGACGTGTGTGTGTGTGTGTGCGTGTGTGTGCGTGTGCGTGTGCGTGTGGCCGCTTGTACTAGTCCGGACTAATGCCGATTATATAGTACTAGCCCATGGAGATACCAGGGCGCAGTTTAGCATGAATACCCCAATCGGACACAGAAAATGACTCCGAGCTGACCAGTCCTTGTTTTAGCCCCTTAATGTCGAGCGCTTGACAGGGTAACAACAAGTACCATCTTTTAACGTCTTTTGGTATGACGAGGCCGTGGATCTAACCCCGGACCTTCCGCTCTCTGAGCGGACGCTCTACCACCAGACCACGGATGCGGCCCAATAGAAGTTGAAGACCCCGGATTCTTTCATATCATACAGTTAATCTGCCATGGCATCGAGTGTTCTTTAACTTCTTTTGAGCAGTATACTCACACACGATTACCTGACGGGCAGAGTTTGCCCTTGAGAACTTGTGGAAATATCTACAATTTAACAAATAAAACCACTTTAATATGAACACGTTAGTTTGGTCCTTGAGACATGATTTAATATACAGGTCCTCGGTGACCTAAGAGATGTCAGGTAAAGACAGCGAGGAGGGTATCGGTACAGTGGCGATACAATCTCATGTACGGTCCTTATCAGCACTTGACGTTGAGAGTCACCACACCCAGTCACGATAATATCACTGTCGGATTTCTGTAGTGTCCAGTGTATCAAAATCTGCTCAAGCGGCTTTGTAACGATGTTTGACCACAGCTGACCCCTCGCTGTCCCCGCGGGCTCGCGGTGTTGCCTCTTTGTTGTCTTCACGCGCGGATGCTTGACACCATCCCAGGACGCTTGTTTGCGAAGTCGCGTTAAGGTGTGCTGACCAGTGCCCAGTCTCTACCTGTGTGCTGACCAGTGCCAAGTCTGTACCTGTGTTCTGACCAGGGCCTAGTCTCTACCTGTGTTCTGACCAGTGCCCAGTCTCTGCCTGTGTTCTGACCAGTGCCCAGTCTCTACCTGTGTGCTGACCAGTGCCCAGTCTCTGCCTGTGTTCTGACCAGTGACCAGTCTCTACCTGTGTGTTGACCAGTGCCCAGTCTCTGCCTGTGTTCTGACCAGTGCCCAGTCTCTGCCTGTGTGCTGACCAGTGCCCAGTCTCTACCTGTGTGCTGACCAGTGCCCAGTCTCTACCTGTGTGCTGACCAGTGCCCAGTCTATACCTGTGTGTTGACCAGTGCCCAGTCTCTACCTGTGTGCTGACCAGTGCCCAGTCTCTACCTGTGTGCTGACCAGTGCCCAGTCTCTACCTGTGTGTTGACCAGTGCCCAGTCTCTACCTGTGTGTTGACCAGTGCCCAGTCTCTACCTGTGTGTTGACCAGTGCCCAGTCTCTGCCTGTGTGTTGACCAGTGCCCAGTCTGTACCTGTGTGCTGACCAGTGCCCAGTCTCTACCTGTGTGCTGACCAGTGCCCAGTCTCTACCTGTGTGCTGACCAGGGCCTAGTCTCTGCCTGTGTGCTGACCAGGGCCTAGTCTCTGCCTGTGTGTTGACCAGTGCCCAGTCTCTACCTGTGTGCTGACCAGTGCCCAGTCTCTACCTGTGTTCTGACCAGTGCCCAGTCTCTACCTGTGTGCTGACCAGTGCCAAGTCTCTACCTGTGTGCTGACCAGTGCCCAGTCTCTACCTGTGTTCTGACCAGTGCCCAGTCTCTACCTGTGTGCTGACCAGTGCCCAGTCTCTACCTGTGTGCTGACCAGTGCCCAGTCTCTACCTGTGTGCTGACCAGTGCCCAGTCTCTACCTGTGTGCTGACCAGTGCCCAGTCTCTACCTGTGTGCTGACCAGTGACCAGTCTCTGCCTGTGTGCTGACCAGTGACCAGTCTCTGCCTGTGTTCTGACCAGTGACCAGTCTCTACCTGTGTGCTGACCAGTGCCAAGTCTCTACCTGTGTGTTGACCAGTGCCCAGTCTGTACCTGTGTGCTGACCAGTGCCCAGTCTCTACCTGTGTGTTGACCAGTGCCCAGTCTCTACCTGTGTGTTGACCAGTACCAAATCTGTACCTGTGCTCTGCCTGGTTGCTGACTGGATGCCGTGCTCCTCAGCAACAGTCCTACCAGACCAACTTGGATCAGCTCGCTTAAGGCCATATAGATCAGACCCGTCCAGGGAGGTCTGTCTTTAACCTCTGAACTCACCCCTCGTCAGGATCTATCCATTTCAGTTTAACAGTCATTGCTATAGCCCACCCATTTCTACCCTCAGAGGCTATTATCGTGGTCCCTGACATTACCTACCCCATTTCAACCCTGAAAGGTCATTGCAATGGCTACCCTATTTCCACCCTTGCTGGCCTATCCTATCGTCCAAAGTATATTAACTAACCCATTCCTCATCTATTGGTTGACCTTTTCCTTGTTAATGCCCTCTTTGACTAACCCCAGCAAACCTTTAGATCTATCCCCAACCCACCCTGACCTATCCATTGCGCATATCCTCATCCGTAGCAATCCGGTAACACTTACATCAGGTGTTGAGCTTTCCACCCTCATTACATCCCTATCCCCATTTGCTGACTACCCTTCCAACATAAGGTGGCCAATGACCCCCCTTGTGGCCTGACCCAGTAAGGTGCCTCCGCCAGGCCGTACACCGCCCTGTACCCGCAGTACGCTGATGTTTGTTAAGGGTGGCTGGTGTTGTCGCGCCAGTGCTGCCTTTGTTCCTCGGTGTGGCTGTACGTCCTGACATTCCATACCGGAATGCTCTTAGTTGTCTCCGTGGACACTCGGGTGTGTGGTTACCACGTCACCGGTGCACACCGATATGATACTATTGCCCCAGCTTGTTTAGAGTGGCTAGGGAATAGTGTGGACAGTGTTTGCTTCGGTCCGCTAGTGGTTAAAGGTTTGACCCAATATATTCTAAAGCTTGCCTAAAACCCTTCTCACACATGCCACAGAAACGACTGTTGACTGACTGTATATATATACGATCAACTATGTCCTACGCTACGCCTTGACTTTATGTGTTTGTTGTTAACGCCATAGACAGTACGATGCCAGCTATGCGACAACGGCTTGTAACTGTGCGGACCAGACAATCTAGTGGTTGATATTGTGAATTAAAATCCACGCCGTCGGGGTACGATCTGTCTCCGAATCTGACCTGCCGATCAGTGATGAAGTCGCCATGTACGACATACATTGGTTTCTGGGGATTTTTTTCCAACCCGGAATCCCCACGGATTGGGACCTTTTTTTAAAAACTG